GTTATGAATCAGTCTCCACGCTAAGTGTTATGCCAATGCTTCCTTCTTCTGCGCATTTTACCTTTAGGAAAAGGCAGAGCTGAAAATCAACGGAGCAGGAATTGTTTTGTATCACATGCTGTAATTTCTTGGCAATATCAACCAACGTTAATGGATTACTTCTGCTAAATGCCGTCCTAATGACCTGACATGAGTAACTTGCCTGGTGAACTTCCGCAGAAATAAGAAGAAATCAATTCTATGTACCCTTCGGAGGCAACGCAGAGATTCGAGCCCTCCCTCTTAGCTCAACCAAAATGTCAAATAGACAAATTGTTAGGAAATTCAAATAATTTGATTTAGAAGAGAATTAAAATATATGCACCCTGCTCACATTTTTTCTAGTTATGCTAAAGTGACATTCTTGGAATAACACGTCCAGAGCATCACTTTGGAGAGTGGAATTTTTATATGCTAATAAGCAGATTCATTAAAAGATAAAAATGACGTTTTTTTTTTAAAGAAAGCAAGAGGAAAATAGACAATAAGACATTTGTTCCTGATACCTTCTGTTTTTTTCTTTTTGCTGTTTTTCTGCACATACACATTTGTGTGTATGTGTTTGTGTTGAGTGTATGTGTGTGTTTATATGTGTATGCGTGTCTCCTATTTATGCTGTCCTTTAAAGTGGTTTCATCTGTTAATTAATTTCTTGTGTTTCTCATACTTGGCATCCTGCCACTACCTCAAACTCACCTCATATTAACTCAGGCATCAAAATCATTCTTTTCTTCTTTAAACCACCGTGTTTTTTTTTTTTTTGACGCCTCCTTGATGTTTTAAATGACAGGAAACGAGAAAGAAGTCTCCTTTCTCCCAACTGAAGATGGTCATGAAATGTATGCAGTGGGGATGAAATTATGTTTCTAAAACCTTACAGGTACTGCTCTCTCTGGAGGGCACCAGCCTGAAACTGGTCCTGTCTGTTGGAGAGTAGAGTTATCAGGGTGAAGGAGGTGAGAGACAGACGCTGGAATTGGATAGGACCAGAGCCTGCAAAACAGCTTCAGCATAGCAGCTTCCCATGGGTGTCAAAACTCTTTCTAGAAGGGCTTTTCTTTGTCCCCTATAGTTGACTCCCACTCCACTCACTTCTGATGGTTACCCTTCCATCCAGGTTCTCAGGCCAATTCTCATGCCCCTTGTCCAAAGATCCTTTGAGTTATTTGGGACATAGGTTCCCAATGGAGACCCCTTGATTCCAGAAGAAAGGTTACAATGTTCAGAGACAGTTTTGGTCTTCTGAACTGGGGAGAAAAGATTCTGCTGGCCTCAGTGGCTGGTCAGACTGCTTCACACCCCACATGATGAGTATCTGTCACAACCCACACAATGAATGATCATCTTCCCTAAAATGTCAGTAATGTCAAGGTTGAGAAGTCCCACCTAAGCAAATACAACTTCTTCACACATTTTCCTTGTTCTTTGTGGTTACTGGTATAATACCTGTTTAGGCTTATATGTATTTAATTCCTTATAGGAAGGAAGCATATATATTCATCTTTTTCTCCCAAGCTTTGAGCACTCGAAACTGAATTGATCCAGAGGAGTAAATACGTTGAAGAACTTGCAACATCTATATTCAGTGCTAATGTCCTTTAATGCTTTTTAAAGGAAACTCACATGATTTGAGGAATATTTTATTTCTAATTGTCTAGTTATGCGATCTTAAGCTTGGACAAGACTTTAAATGCAACCCAGTCTAGCTGTTTTTCTTCACCAAGGGACCTCTTTTGATTTTTCTAAATACCGAATTGAAATTCTATTGCAATCATTCTCAGGTGCCAGACTGTGAAATTGGTATTTCCTCATTTAGACATTATCAGAATATATGGTAGTCCTCTTTGCATAGATATATACTGTGTGTGTACGAATTCATTAAGAATATTAATTGCAGAAAAAGTCACTGGATGATCTTGATAGCTCTTTTCAGCCCTGACTTAAACTGCTACCTTCCCTATCATATTTATTTACTAAGTAGGGCAAAAAGAGACTGCACAATGTGTTTCCTATGCATAAATATCTGGCTTATTAATTTCTCATGGACCCAAACATATTTAGATCTTTACCTCTAATAAATTCCTACCCATTGTTTACTTAATGTCAAAGACATCTTTTATTTTTACACTTAAACACTAATACATTTTAATTATGTTTTTGATGATAAACTTACAGAATCGTCAGTGTTCTCTCTCTTTCTGTTTCTCTCTGTGTGTGCGTGTATGTGTGCGTGTGCGTGCACACACACACATGCACGTGGAATTTGATTATGAAGACTTTAGGGACAAATGGCTGCACCTTCTTAAAAATGACCCAAGTACCTAATACAGTGAGAAGCAAAGCAGAGTTTATCTACTTATTCAAAGATTGCAATTGGAGTGCTCAGATACTTGGATGCTAAAAGGAAATGTTTTTCCTCATATATACAATTCATAGTATCTTTTAAATAGTCCCGGGAGAGGAATACCAAGCTCTGATGTTTTTCTTTTTAATTAATAAGTTGAAAGATAAGATTCTCATGCATTTTGTGATATAAAGGTGCAGGAAGACCGAGCTGTAAGTGAGTGCATTTTAACATGAAGGTACTGACATTTCATTATACAAAATTGTATTACTATCAGCAGAAAATAACTAGAAGGGTATTGTGATTCCCATAACATTTTAAAGAATATTCATTATTACCCAGAGCTGAGTTAGACCATGTTTATGTTATCACTAAAAATTAATTTTATTGCTTTTGCAATGTTATTATCTTTTACTTGGATCAAGGACATATGAGTTCTAGGTCTAGCTTTGGGCCAATTGCTTGTGTATCTTTGGACAAGCCTTACTGGGTGTACATTTTTATTTTAGAAATTTATAGGAGTGAGGTAATTTGTTTCTAATATTTCTCCCACCTTTAATACTTTGTATGCAGATTTATAACCAAAACTTCTTTACTACATATTATTACATTTTATCATTTTGGCAGTTTGGTGAGAAAGGCCAAGAAAACAATATTTTCTTTTTATAAATGAAAATGTAAGTTCAGGCAGTTAAGTGACTTAAGCAGGTCTGGGATGAGGGAGCCTAGTACTGTTTCCAAGATACTCTCAACCCTCCCTGAACAACCAATTTTTAAAAGCCTTCTTTTTGCTTTATTTCAAAAGTGAAACTTTAAAATGTACACCCCTGGTCATAAATATAAACTCCATACTTTTTAAAATTTTGTGAATATTCACACCTCATTTACCTAGAGATAGCTAATAAGATCTGGTACACACAGCAACTTGCAGAGATTGGATAGCAAGTCGAATTCAAGTTGCATGTCTACATGTTTTGATTGGTAGCGTCTTCCTGTGTCCTAGGCTGAGAATTAATTGTGAAGCCAAGTTTAAGTTCTGTATGGAAGTGTATCATGTAATAGTAGCCACATATACCCTGAGCAATAGAGAGTGGGGTATAGAGAGCTACTCATGGACAAAAGAACCTTTGAAAGAAACAACTTGAGAATTTATTAATGTCTTATGAAGTGTCTGATACTAACTTGCCTTACAGCAGATTTTATAACTCAAAACTTCAGCTTTTATTATAAATTATTTCTTAATTATAAGTGTCCTTAAAGTACTTGAATGTCTTCATTTACAACTGTAGACTATGAAAGCGTGGGGAAGCTTTTCCTGATTAGTTTTAATAAAATACAGCTTTATCAGAAAGTATGTATTTGATACATATGTATATATCAAATCTATGTATGTGTTTGATATATATGGACATGTTTAATTTATATATTGTATAGATAGCTTATATATTTATTTTATGTGTGTGTGTGTGTGTGTGTGTGTGTGTGTGTGTGTGTATCATAGTAGTTTTCCATTACATACAGGAAACACATTTTAAGACCCTCAGTGAATGCCTGAAGTCCTGAGCACTATATATTTTATATTTGTTTCAGTGTGTATATACATAGGATAAAATTTAATTTATAATTTAGAAATACTAAGAGATTAACAGCTAGTAAAATATAAAATTCTAATACTATACTATATCAAAAGCTTTATAAATATGCTCTCACCTTACCATATATTTTAAGTTCCATCACACTAAGGTAATATTTCTGGACTTCAGCTGACTGTGGGTAACTTCACCCCTGCCCCCAAATGAAGCCATGTATAGGGAGAACAATTTTCCTGAAAATCAGTACTCTCTGGACTGTGCAGTACAAATATAAATTATAGTGATAAGAAAGGATGAAGAGCTCCTGAACCATTGATGGCTGCTCTTTGCCTGCCTGCTGCAGCTATTCATAGTGATGAGGGCTTTATACCCCTTTGATCCCCCATTTGAGGTTTTTAAGTGTCTATTTTCTTATTTTGGGGGTGTTTTAGAATTATGAAAGTTTGTGTGGCTAAAAGAAGTGTTGGAGCTAAAATTCAGACCAAAATTTAGTAGATATCAAAAGTCATTTATTTTAACATAAGTAGATTGCAGGGTATAGATTTGAGAGTATAGGTATTTCCCAGTGAAGGTCTAGAAGAACCCCCACCCCATTTGGGAGAGTGTTTGGATTTACCTTTCATTATTTCTATATGCTGGTTGCCCTAGGCTTCAGGAGGAATGTGATATACACAATAAAAGAGCCATTATTTCTCAATGTTTGCCAATGTGCCCATGAGTTGTTTCTCTGTAGAGTGTAGTGTGTCATCCAACAAGGATTGCTCTGGGGTTAGAGAGTTTACTTTAATCGAGACAAAAACTTCCCTAAAGAACTTTTATTGTTGGGGCAGTATATTATACATGAACTGTACTTTTGTGTTATTCACTGATAGAGGCATAGTTTAGAAAAAAAATGTGTATTTTCAGATTTATCAAAATACACTATCTGAGGTACACAACAGGGCCATTACTTTAATTGAAGCAAAACATGTAATTGGCATGTCATGTTCTCTTCTTCTTTCTTTTGTTTTTTTTTTTCCCCCCAGATTCCTTGGTGTTACTCAGTTCTCACCTACGCATGCCAGGAAGGCGTTTCCGTGTTTCGACGAGCCAATCTACAAGGCCACTTTCAAAATCAGCATCAAGCATCAAGCCACCTATTTGTCTCTATCCAATATGCCAGTGGAGACATCTGTGTTTGAGGAAGATGGATGGGTAACAGACCACTTTTCACAGACTCCTCTCATGTCCACATATTATTTAGCCTGGGCGATTTGCAACTTCACGTACCGAGAAACTACTACCGAGAGTGGGGTTGTAGTAAGTATTTCCAGCCTAATGATGCTTTGGATAAGGTGTACCCTTCCAAGTCACCAGAGTTCACAGGCATCACGTGTACTGCTTTCACATCTGACACAGCCCAAGTCTTTAGTTACTGGAGGGTAAATGTAATCCTTGTTTCAAAGTCAGATGGGAACTTTGCCACCCCTACACTCTATTTCCTATTGTTTTGGGTATGCCTAGAACAGCTCTTGACTTTTCTGGAAAATTCCTTAATTCCTCTTACATCTTTCTATTATGAATTTCTTTTCAAATGTATAGAAAATGCACCAAAGGATACAATGAACTCCACATCCGGATTAGCAAGATCTGAGAAGAGAGTAAACCATAGTGAATAGACTCAAAGCTCTCTAGCAGTAGTTCCTGATATCCTCTCCACTGGGAACCCTAACCTTGACTTTGTATCTGTCCTTCCCATGCATTTGATGGTACAGTTATTATGCATGTTGATATTCACTTATTTATTTTATTTTATTTTATTTTTTTTTGGTTTTTTGAGACAGGGTTTCTCTGCGTAGCTTTGCGCCTTTCCTGGAGCTCACTTGGTAGCCCAGGCTGGCCTCGAACTCACAGAGATCCGCCTGGCTCTGCCTCCCGAGTGCTGGGATTAAAGGCGTGCGCCACCACCGCCCGGCTGATATTCACTTATAATACTTAGCATAGTTTAAAATCCAAGAGGCTCTGTAGAATCGATATCATCCTACCTTGTACAGTTATTTCACTTACTCCTCTGAGGTAGTGTGAGGTACTCCAGGCATTGTCTGCATTTCATTTATGGCAAAAACCAAGTGGCTTGTCTTTGGTGGCCCTCCTTAGTGACATCAAGGCATTCCAGGCACTTTTCTATTGCCATGTTGGATGAGCAATTTCTTCCTCATTTCAATTTCTTCCACAACAACTATGCATTTATTTTAAATTCACATTAATTATAAAGACATTATGTTTCTCCTTTCCCCACAGGAGTAGTTGGGGTTTAAATAGATTAAGTAACCTTCCCAGGGTCAAACACCACAAGTCAAATCTGTTGGTTTGTTTCCCAAGGTTTGGGCTTTCTCTCCTGTGCTCGGGGAATCTCTTTTCCCACTTAACCTGCATGTCTTTGAGAGAATTTGTCTGGTGATCTTCCCCACCACATAGCTCCTGTATTCCATTTTCCTTGAGCATACCAGAATAAGTGAATAGAAAGTTACGTTTTCAATCTGTAGGGATTCACAGCTCAATAATAACCTGAATTTTGAAAAATAGTTTTGGCTAAGGAATTTTTTTCCCTCACTGTTACTTTTCATTTAAATCACCGTGGAGCCTGCTTAAAAAATTAAATCTGCTTGCATACAAAATTAATGCCATTATTGAAAAAGTATGGAGTGAATTCATCTGTGTAATCATTAAAATAATACCCTAAATGCTGAGTATAGAGGGCTAGCAGGCACTTTCCTCTTTGGACTTATAATAATTTGAAATGTTGAATTCCTCTGATGCCTGTTGATGTCTTCTATGGACATTTCAAGGCTGAACTCATTGGACCATACACAGAAAAGGAACATGAAGACATCTCATTTCCTTTGGTGTCTTCAAAAGTTGATGATTGACTTGCAGTGGCTGAGCTAGCATAAAGTATCCTGGAAATGCTTTGGCCTGGTATACTTTCTTTAAAGGACCATGAAAGTATCCTCAGCCCTACATAATTATGCTTGCTGCTAAGATCTGTGTGTAAAACCACTCTATTTTTTTTTTAGACGTGACTTTTTATTGTTAAGAATCTCTAAGTGATCAGTAAATAGTTTAACATTTATGCTTAGTAATTTTAATGTAGAAAAGATAAAATGTAGTAGCAGAGAACATTGAAAGGTCAACTGAAAGAAAATTTCAGACTGTATAATCTCAAAATGCCAAAATCAGTAAAAGGGAAAGCGGAAGTGCCACTGGGAGCCCTTGTTTATCAACTGTGGACATATAGTTTGCAATTCCGCTCTCTTTCTGTCACCCCTTTGAAATTCAATCTAGTTTCTTCTCCCTGACGTTCCCCTTTATTACTGGGGGCACATGGGAATGACATTTCTCAACCCTTAGCAGATGGAAGGAGAAGAGATTCAGCTTTAGAATCCTGGCTGTGGGATGGTCATGTGAGGTCCAGGTGGTCAGTTTAGATCAGAAGCTGCAGCAATTTTGTTGGAGCTATGAGGAAGGAACTTGAGTAGCATATTAATAGTATGGAGCTGAGTCCTAGAGCCAACATCATTGCCGTTGATAACTGCTTTTCAAACTGCCTACACTCTGCACAACACCATTCAGAATAATTACAAAGATGAAGAGTCTCAGATTCTCCTAGTCAGGGGCTGCAAATGCAAATTAAATAGTTAATCCTAATCTGCAAATGTATTGAGTTTATCCATTTCTAAAACAGCTTACCATCTTTTTCTAAATAGTGTTAATATTTACAAATTGAAAGATTGCACATAAAATCATTTCTGCTCCCTCCTGAAGAATCAAAAGATCTTATATCACTTGACTCACATCTGTATTCTGTCATATTTTCTCCTTCATTTATTCCTTCCACAGACATTTATTGACTGGATGCTACAGCAGATACTGGATAGACTCTGGCTAAACAGCAGCGCACAGCAAAACTTTGTTGCTTCCAGAGATCTTGTGTTTTAATGAGAGGCAAGAATCATTCACATATGTAACACGTAAGGTGGTGATTTATGCCCTGAAGAAAGTCAATGGGCTGAAGTTAGGTGGTGACCAGTGCATTTACATTTGACATTTATTTTTCAAGGCAACATACTCCAGATTGGTTGTGGTCTTTTGTGCTCAGTCTACCTCACAATTATATATTACCTGCTACAATCCTGTATACAATTACAGTTCAGCCTTAACCGAGGAACACAATTCAGGAGAACAATCAGGGTCTGCACATACATAAGGGAAACAACAAATTCACCAATTATGAATTAGCATCATTAGTATTCATTAATTGTTCAGTTCGAGGAAAACAATCCCATGACCACTAGAAGACAGAGAAATTGCTAACTGTTGCAGTGTAGGCATGTATCTCATGGGTGAGAGTGGAGTTAGTAAGACCTTGAATGATGATTTGGTCCCAGGGAAGCAGATGCTCTGTGCACACTGTGCTTGGTTGGGGAAATATTATCAGGAAGAGATATAGAGGTAGGGAAGTCTGTATGAAAACTAGTGTGGTAGGATGACTACAGATGGGGTTTTATCATCAGATATATCTGTTTCTGAGTTCTTGCCTTGCTTTTCTGTGACCTTGGTTTATTACGTAAGGTCTCCCCTTTCTAGTTTGAAAACTAGAAATATGGCTTCTTCCCCTACAGTGCTGTTCTGGTTCCTATATTTGCAAAACAAACTACTCTAAAAGGGATTTACATGATACATCCAGTGTATTGTGTCTAGAGCTTCCATGGTACGGAATTGAAGTGCACAGTGGAAGCCACTTGACTCTGCTCAGTATTGTCTGGATCTCATTTGGGTTGACAAGATGACTGGCCTCTTACAACCAAGGCCAGATTCACCTGGAATCCTATTTGTTTGGAGGTTTATTATTAGTCTCCTGAGATATCAGCTGGGGCTGTGTGCTACAGCATTTGTGTGTGGTATCTGCATGGCCCAGGCTTGCTTAAAATATGGTAGCATCAGGGAGATTCAATTTCTTACATGGCAATTTAGAACACTGTCTTAGTTAGGGTTTGTGATGGAACACCAGGACCAAAGCATCTCAGAGAGGTTTATTTGGCTTATGTATCCCTCATGTTTATTTTTTTTATGTATTAGTTGCAATCCATTGAGAAAAGCCAAGTCAGGAACTCAAATTGGGAAGGAACCCACAGGTAGGAACAGAGGCAGAGGCCATGGAGGACTATTGCTTACTGGCTTGCCTCTCATATTTCTTCCTCATATCCTGCTTTCTTATAGAACCCATAACCATCATTCCAGAGATGGTACCATCTGCAATGGGCTGGGCCCTTCCATATCTATCACTAATTAAGAAAATGCTCTATGGGCTTGCCGATAGCCTAATCTGATGGAGACATTTTCTCAACTGGGGTTCCCTTATCTCAGATGACTCTAGCCTGTATCAAGTTGATGTAAAATTAGCCATCATAAACACCAAAAGTAAATGCCCTAAATGACTCTAATAAATCTATATGAAGCTGTTTCTGACATCACATTTTATTGTTTCTATGACATAGTATTTTCCTTTTTTGTAAGTTAGTTACTAACAATAGTCTAGGCTCAACAGAAGAGTGGATACTTGCCAGCTCTTAATGGAAAGAATTCCAAAGAATTTTTGGTCTTATTTTAAAATGAACAGTCTGCTCTCTGTTCACAAACTATTTACACTCAAATCCACATAGAATATAAACATATATAAACATACATACATATACATACACACACATATACACACACACACTCGTTAATGAGAATCATCCTGTAAATAATATATGCTAACATTTGAGATCCACGGTCATACAAGCCAGCTGAGATTCAGGTGCAAATGTGTTGACTCAGATTTGGTTTCCTTGGCATACCTCCTCTCACTCAGAAGACCTGTTATAAAGACCACTAAGTCATTTATCTTTCTTCCCTGTTTCCCAACCCACAGGCACTGGTGAAGTTGGAAGATGATTGTAATAGTCATCTGTATTCCAGAATAGAATATAAGGTGAAGATCCAGTAGTCAATGGCCTGTAGCAATTCTGAAATCCAACTGGTCAGTCTTGCCAATTCCTCAGCTATGTGGTTCAGTGCTGTTCCCTGTGGGTGGATTTTTTTGGCATTTGACCTCATCCTTTGGGCTTTTAATTTTGCCTTTGAAGAAACCCTTTTCCAAATACAAAACAGTTTGTGTCTACAACTGCGATAACCTCAGCTCCATTCTGATATGTGCAAACTCGGATTTCACAGGCTCTTATGACCTTACAATTAAGCAAGTATACTTAATGAAAATC